CCTAAAATTAACCCCTAAACCTAACCCTAACCCTAACCCTAAAATTAACCCCTAAACCTAACCCTAACCCTAACCCTAAACCTAACCCTAACCCTAAACCTAACCATTAACCTAACCCTAACCCTAACCCTAACCCTAACCCTAACCCTAAACCTAAACCTAACCCTTACCTTAACTTGAATCGGCTTGCTTTCAAAGCGCTATTTAAAGCGCCCTTCTTTCTCCGCGCTAGCTGTTGTCGCCCTGTTGATGACGTCAGCGACGCGGTTTAATCGGGCGCGCTTTAGTCGAGCGCGGTTTTGTCGTGCCACGATTTGAACTCATCAGCACTTCCGTGCATGCACATGGAGTGTACGGCACCTGTGCAATGCTCTGCCGAGCAGCCTTGCAGAGGCGTCACGGAGGTAAGGATGCATGCGCGCATGCTGTATATGTGCATGTGGGGGAAGCCGGGCCCCGTTGCACCGTACCGGTTGCAACGGGATCAGGAACCCACCACTGAATATTGCATCCAATTTTGGTTGTCACGATGTAAAAAAAAAGTTGAAATTCTAGAAAGAGTGCGGAGAAGAGCAGCAAAGATGATCAGACCTTAAAACATAGGAAGAATAGTTAAAGGAATTGGGTATATCCTAATTTAATGAAAAGAAGGACTGGGGTAAAAGGATAGCAGTGTTCCAATATCTAAGGAAAACTGCTATAAAGAACACCTGAAGCATAACAAGAAGCTGTTTATGGAATACCCTATCAATCTAATTAAGGCCTGATGCATTCTTATTGGGAATTCCTCTTAACATTGAGATTTTTGGAAGGTTTGGCTTGATGAGCAGGTGGAACAAGGCACTGAAAGACATTTAGAGCTTTTGTCACAGTTCAACATCTTTTTATTTTTCCTTTCTAGATGTGATCCTGCCTTGCCTCATGAGTCACGGGGAGGAGAAATGCACTGCATAAATATGTGACATTATGTTGTCATAGATATCACAAAAAAAGAGGGAGCAAAGAATGTTAAAGCAACAGCTGCTCCAAGCCTCTTAGTAAAAATATCTAGAACCCCCTTCGTTTCTGCAACTACTCTATTATCATTTCGGTTGAATGGTAGCCACTGAGGCAGGCTGACTAAGCGAATGTATTTTGTCACCTGCTGCTAAGTAGGTCAATAGTTTGCATATGCCTCCAGCAAGTAGGCTTAATTGCTTTTAAGAGAGAACTAGGAAAACAGCTCCTTCAATTTCCTTTTGACATACTGGATTGCTATTCCCAAAAGTCCCTTTTGCTATTTTTAACTGCATTAAGGTCAGATCTGGAAAGCAGCCATGAATAATCACATGGGGACTAAATAAAAGATTACAATGCCATACATAAATGGGTGAGAAGACCCCCTTCCTTTCATCTTTTACACCATTTCTCTGCGCTCATCTGGGAAAAGACATCAATGTACAAATTGCAATGTACAATGCAACATTTTATTCTGGGTTTAATGGTGAATGGTTTTGAATCAAAATCTTTCTTGTACTGATTTTAAGATTTTATTTGATCAAAACCAGAAGATTCATTTAGATCCTAAATAAAGTCAACCTGAATAAACAAAGTTTATTCTGAATTAAGAACTTCCTGAAAGCAAGGCTGAGTGAGCAAGCTGAGTCATGGTATTATTTGCAGTTCCCGAAGCCCTCCAGAATCAATTCCAGAGGTTGTGCCCCTTCAGAAGATGCCAAAGAATAAAAAAAAAATGTAACGGAGGAAGGAAATTATTAAGTACATGGCAAGTAATTCTATTAAATTTTATTTTATGAATTTTAATTCAGTATGAGTAATTATAGACTGGACTACTGGACTACTGCAATGCGCTCTACATGGGGCAGCCCTTGAAGAGTGTTCGGAGACTTTAGCTGGTCCAGAATGCAGCCGCACGAGCGATTGTGGGTGCACCCTATTACACCCACGTTACACCTATCCTCCGCGAGCTGCACTGGCTACCTATTGGTCTCCGGATACGCTACAGGGTGCTAGTTATTACTTATAAAGCCCTACATGGTATTGGACCTGGGTACTTGAGAGACCGCCTTCTGCCGATTACCTCCCACAGACCCATTCGATCCCACAGATTAGGCTTCCTCTGTATTCCATCTGCCAGCCAATGTCGGCTGCCGACTACTCGGAGGAGGCCCTTCTCTGTGGCTGCCCCGGCCCTTTGGAACGAGCTCCCCATGGAGATTCGGACCCTCTCCACCCTTCAGGCCTTCCGTGAAGACCTGGCTGTCCCAGCAAGCCTGAGGTTGAGTCCCCCCCCCACTACTCGAATTTGCTGTGTCTGTTGTGCTTTTAAACTGTTTGTATTGTTTGTTTGTCTTTGTCTCACTTTTTGTAATTTCCCCTCCCTTGGCTTTGTTCAGCCACCCTGAGTCCCTTCGGGGAATAGGGTGGCCTACAAATTGAATAAAATCCAAATCCAAATCTCATTTTGGTTCCATCATTTGTAGTCTTCACCTGTATTTTTGGGAATGTATCTTTTGGCATGACACCAGCCACGACTAGTATGAGAATCCCCCCCCCCCCACACACACATACCCAAAAGGAAGATGGCGTTCACAACCATAAGTCACCTTTTATTATGCAATGTGGATTTCAATCACACAACTGTGGGCACCATTTTCAGTTTTTTATATTCTACTTCTCCAACAGGATATTTTTGCATGTCAATCAAAGGCCAGAAATATTAAGCATTCCTTTTTTAAAAACAGTGGCTTTTAACCACATCATTCAAATCTACTGCTTACCTGTAGAAGAGCATAAAAGGTTGAATCTTCAGGATCATCTAACATCTTGGGTTTTGGAAATCGCCTTGGGCTTCTTTGTATATGATCACCATCCTCTCTTTTGAAACCAACTGCAAGAAAGGTTCATTATGAGAAAATTGTTTAGAAACAGCAATATATTTGAGACAAGAAACCATTTTGAGATGCAGTAAGTATAGGAGAAAAAGCCAGAGAGCGAAGTTAAACATGTCATCAATTTAGAATCTCTGCATTCCCACAAGTGTTGCACCCTTCCTGAATTCTGTTGATCTTTATCTGGTGCTAATGTAATGTTGAGCTTTAGTTGACCAGAGTCTTATGTGTAGTCTTGAATAAATATTCTATGTTGCAACCTTACAAATGTTCCTGATTCATTGCCCCTGGCAGTATAATTTCTTAAACATTTTTGTATATTTACCAAATTTATACAGGTAGTCCTTGCTTACCAACTATTTGTTTAGGAATTATTCAAAGTTACCTTGGTGCTTAAAAGGGACATTTACAACTGGTCCTTCAGCTTGTGGCTGTCCCATTTGTGACTTTTATGGCTAGCTTCCAACAAGCAAGGTCAATGGAGAAGCTGGCCAGAAATCACATATATGGTCATGTGACACCACAGGCGATTCATTTAACAACCACAGCCAGAACTGATGATGTAAGTTGGGCATTGTCTATAGAGCTTCTCAGTCATCCACGTCATGATTGCGAAGGTGCTTTAAAAAAGGCAACTGGACTTTCTTATTTTTCATGAAGTCTTTCATTTCTCACCAAGAACTTCTTCAGTTCCATTCTTCAGGTGAATGTCCTCAGAGTCACCTGAATCAAAGTGGCTGACTACAATTTATACATCATTTTTGTTTCCCATCAGATAGTTAGAACTGAAGAAGCTTCTTGGATGAGAAGTGAAATGTCTTTAAGAAACAAGCAAGTCCACTTTTTAAAAGCATCCTTGGAATGAATTGGACCCTCTCACATGTTGTTTATGGACATATTGCTTGGTAATTGAGTTGTTGGTCCTAATTGTGATGAGTGAAGACTAATTGTGAGCTGAGGTGGCGCAGTGGTTAGGGTGCAGTACTGCAGGCCACTTCAGCTGACTGTTATCTGCAGTTCAGCGGTTCTAATCTCACCGGCTCAAGGTTGACTCAGCCTTCCATTCTTCCGAGGTAGGTGAAATGAGGACCCAGACTGTGGGGGCGATATGCTGACTCTGTAAACCGCTTAGAGATGGCTGAAAGCCCTATGAAGCGGTATATAAGTCTAACTGCTATTGCTAATTGTAAATACCATTAAAAAGTACACAATTTTGGAGAAGCCTAACAGCTACTATTAAAATAAATCCAGAAAATTTAAAAAAAAACACAAAATAAGTATTAGGAAATAAATTCTCATCTTTTTTGTAAGCTGCCTAATGTTTTGAAGCAACTTCAACTCGTTTTTTTTTAAACCAAGCAAGGATTGTTTAATTTATACTATGTAATGGATATCATACAACATTCAATATTTAGTATTAACTAAACTAGTTGCTGATCAGTTTTGAGACCAATTCAAAACGTTGGTGTTGCCTTTAAGAGGCTGAAATGGTAGGATTTTGCAAATAATTTGACCAGGCACTTCATTTCCAAATGGAAGAATATACACATGTGTATATAAGCAGTATACACGTTAATTGTATTATTATTTAATTATAATATATAGGCAATTATTGCCAGATTGCATTAAGATGAACAGACTTTCAACCAGTGATGTTGTATGGACCAAACATAGCTGTTGGACTTTTTCCAGAATGGAGAAAAAGAAATCCGAGGTCTGAAAAGAATAAGTCTTGGCACTATATTTAGTGCATTTTAATTGTACCATTTCTTTCTGTATCAACTGCCCTCTACTTTTTTTTATTTTGCTAAATCATGTGATGATTTCAGCTCAAAAACTAAAATGTATAGAAAATATTTGTTTTAGATTCAGTTGTAGTTATTTATACAACCAATTTCTAATTCTAACTAAACTTTTTATGAATTTATCATAAGAAGTTTCAAGTGCTCCATTACCTGAGTTTTTAAAGAAGAAATTGGACAGCCACCTATCTGAAATGGCAAAGGGTCTCCTTCTTGAGCAGGAGTTGAACTAGAAGACTCCCAAGGTCACTTCCAACCCTGTTATTTTGTAATTCTATAATGTTAAGTCTAACCAATTATATTTGAGTTGCTAGGGAGACTATTATATTTGTAAACAGTTTAAAAAAAAACAACCAATACAGCCCTCTTCAACCTGATCCCGAGTTCTGCTGAGTTGCTGGACACATATGACATTTTCTTGGCAACAGAACAGCAAGATTTGCCCTTGCCTTCTTCTGAATTTTCTTTTTTACATTTTCAAATTGCCAAGTGCTGCTATTGTTCAGTAAGACTTTTCATTCTAAACCAATGCTGAAACCCACAAACCCCATACTTCCTCTCCCAGAAGACCTCCCATTCTTTATATGCCTGTTTCTGTGTGATTTGGTACTTCCTGCTATTAACACCTGTCCCTAAGTGGAAACTTCTCACGATTACCACACTCTTAACTCAGATATGTATGAGAAATCTCATAGATACTTTTCTAGTGATTAAAAGATAATTAACTGAAATAATTTTGATATCCCACCCTCTGGCTAAGCAGCATGCTGGTATCTGCAGTTTCTTCCCTTCTTCCTATTCCACTGGGAGATAAATCAATCTCACAGGAGACAAATAAAATCTAGCTTCATTATTCAAAAAGAGACAAAATGTAAAAAAAAACAAAAAAAAAAAACTCTCTACCCTTTTTACCTGCAAGAATTGAAATGCAAATATTTAATGTAGAAATAGAAAGTTATACAACTGCATAGATAATGTGAGAATTTTGGAGAATTAATCCTCCAAAAAGCAAACGTCAACAGAAAATACACTATTCCAGGCAAACCACAAAGAGGCACTGGTCTACTAAGAATAAAGATTTCTCGCTGCAAAATATTACAAAAAAAGGTTTTAAAGAACAAAAGAATCTTAGTGAATTTGGTCTATAAGATATGCACCAAACCTAAAATCAAACATTCAGTCCTGTAACTTCTACAGAGAAAAAGAAATGGGGATTTGTCACCAATACAAAAGAAAGTGGAAAAGGTTTAGTGCAGTTTCCCAGCTTTATGTATTTTACATATTTCCACAGACACAAGTTTGCTGAAGCAAATCTCTCTCTGCTTCAATTTTTTGGTCTTCTTCAGCAATTTGGAGATTCTAAGCAGTAATAGGTTCTGCAACAAGAGACAAAGGAAGCCTGTTTTCCCCCCCATAAATAATTCTTTTCTATGGATTTATTTTTTTAAAAAAATATGAATCTTTCCTACATACAGGACAGAAGGGGCCGAGAAATGTCTACGTGAAGTAAAGAGCCATCGGGATATGGACTGAAAGTCTCAAATCTGCAGTTTGCCTTACAAGCTACTTTAAAAATGAATTCCTAATTACATGTAGTTCTCAGTTTATGACTTTGTTTTAACGATGGTTTGGAATTATGACAGCCTCAGAAAGAGTGCTTTACAGCCAATAAAGCTCCAGTCATCCCAAAATGTTGCACACACACACCTCCATGATCATGTCATTGCAATCTGGCTGTTTCACGCTTATGACGGAATGCCTAGTCCTCTGCAAATATGTGATCTCCATTTTCAATCTTTTCTGCTGGCTTTTCACAGAAAGTCAATGGGAAAGTCAGTAGAGACTATTGCAACTGTTGGAGCATGCCAAGTGGGGTCGTCGAGAGCTGAGCTGCTTTGGTGAGATACAGAAACAAGTTCCATTCTTGCATCTCACAAAAGTTGACCAAACAGCTATTGATGGTGCTCTCTTTTGCACATGGAGGGGAACTGAATTACTTTGACGGGGTGCAGAAATGGAACACAAATTCTGAAGATTCAAGCCCTGTTCTGTAAAGTACCCTAACGATGCCTGCTTCATAATAAGCAATCCGATATTGTAATACAAAAAGCAGTGATTTATTAACAGCTTCATTAGGCATTTTTCATTAGGCATTTCTTATTCGCAACCATCTGTTTTGCTTTCGTTGTCTGCTTTTGAACTTTGCCCATGTTTCTGACCTCCCTTCAGTCTTTGTCATAAATCATGTTATCCAATAGCTTCATTAATCTCAACCCAGCTACTGTAATGTGAGATCCGGCTCCGCCGACGCTCTGCATGGAATGTCAACGCAGAGAGTTGACATCCGGCTCCCCTCACTTTTCAAAGGCAATCTGTGCAAGCAAAAACAATTTGAGTACCAGTATAGGATTCAAGGCTACGTCCTTTCCCAGGCTTGTTTGGATTTTTTTTCATGGAATCTGTCTATAAGGCGATCTGCCTGGATATTTCTATTTTTTACCCAAGATGCTTCTGACAAGGGATAGCCCTTCAACTTAATTAAGTACTGGAGTTGCCTCCTGTGCCACCTCAAATCAAGGATACGTTGCACTTCATAATGGGTTTGGCCCCCTATGACCACAGGGCCTGGGGTCTCCTGGGGCAGTGGTCTCAGAGTGGATCTGACCACAGGTTTTAAGAGGCTACTATGGAATACTAGGTGCAACTTCCCTAGCAGTCGGGGCAGTTTCAGTTGCACTGAGGCTGGGTTGATGATCTTTACTGTGGGGAATGGTCCCACAAACTTTGGTCCCAGTTTCTTGCTAGGGAGTCTTAACCTCAAATATTTTGTGGAGAGATAAACCTTCTTTCCCACTAGGAATGGTCATTGCAGAGCTTGGTGTTTATCTGCCTGTTTCTTATAGGTTTGTGCTGCCTTTAGCTAGCGCTTTTTTGACATTCTCCCAGGTTGCTTTTAGCATTGACATCCAGTCAGTCAAGCTGACTGAGGAAGGGGGATCCCTTGGATACTCAGGCATTGGGACGATCTGCTTGGATCACGAAGGGTTGCTCGTGGTCAGGATGCTTCAGCACCGGTTCCTTTGCAAACATTTCTCTTAGTGTCACAAATGCCTTTTGGCAGGTTAGGTCCCACTGTAGAGGTTGTCCCGGGTGAGGTTTTGTTCCTGGGCTGCCTGTCTTTAAGAGGTCTGTCATGG